CCCCAAAACCCCAAAACCCCAAAACCCCAGGCTGATGAAATAAATCCAAATAATAGTTTTATTTAATAAAATATAATAGAAAAGCAATTTATAAATCTAATTGATTAAAATTTTTTCTTCTGATAGAGTTTAGAGTTTCAAACAAGAATGACAAGATCTTGATCCTAGTCATAGAAGACAAAGTTATCGGATTCCATCTCTAGCAGTATTTATTGCAAATGTTAGGTGTTCTTAATCTATTCGGCATCTTTGTTTCCTTTGGCCTTCTCATAGATTGCCATGATATCTGCTACTGTAGCTGTATTCTTTTTGTTTTTGCACTCATGAATATACTTGTAGACCTGAGACTTCAGCTTTTAACTAACTTTTGTCTTGATTGATATCTAGGCACCAGCACCAGCTTTAGTAGCTTAAGTCTAGCTTGCAAATAGCTAACCTACAGCTTCATCATGATCTATCTTCATTTTCTTTGAAGGCCTTGGATCTTCATCGTCTTTGATTGGTTTGGCTTGCTTCTTAGACAAAGATTTAGCAGGAGTGGCGTCCTCCTTCTTGAGTTTTTTGGCAGGTGAGTGCTCTTTCTTCATCTCTCTGTCCTATCCTCTTTTGCTTCTTTAAGGCTAGGTATTGAACTATATCTTATCATTATACTCATCTTCATCTTCATCAGGTTAAAGTTAATTGTTTTCTTGGAATATACTGTTATTGAGGAGAATACTAGCAATATCTAGGTCAGTTTCTTCAATCTTTTTGCTCAGTCTGAGTTTTGCATGAGCAGTTGCTAATCTAATTATTGTTTCAAGAGTTCTCACAGTCACGGGTGATGATACCTTGGACTGATCGTAATTCAGTGCTTTAGTTCTCATTAGTGAATAGATAGTGGCTGCGTATTCTATACATTTTGCAGTTAACTCAGGATGCTTCTAAGACTTAGCATATGAAATGTACTTCTTTAAGAACTCCCTGGTCACAATGCTATTCTTTTCATTCTTGTTATGAAGACTTAGGTTAATCTTTTCAAACATCATAGTGCCCTTCGAGTCTTCTCTTCTGTCATCTTTGTATTCTGGCTCAATTACAAAGTCATCATTAAAGTAGTTAAATTGAGGGAACTCACTGTTAGCAGCTTGATATCTATGATTCTAAATAACTCTCTCAGCAATTTTTCTATCATGTTCAGGATCCTTTTCATCAAGCATTACAAATAGAAGATCAAATCTACTTAACAGAGAATCAGGAAGTCCGATGTTTCTACCTACTGGCTAGTCTCTAGCATACTCACCATAAATTGGATTGGCAGCAGCAATTACACTGCATCTAGCATTTAGACTAACATGAATACCTGCTTTTGCAATAGTCACAGTCTACTATTCCATGACTTCGTGGATAGCTACTCTATCAATATCATTCATCTTGTCAAACTCATCAATGCACACGATACCTCTATCAGCCAGCACCATAGCTCCAGCCTCTAAATGTTTTTCACCTGTATCCTTATCAACTGTTACAGCAGCAGTAAGACCAACACCTGAGGATCCTCTACCTGTAGTATTTATAGCTAATGGAGCAATGTCCATCATATGTCTAAGCAGTTGAGATTTAGCAGTGGATGGGTCACCTACCATCATAATGTTGATGTCTCCTCTAAGATGAGTGCCGTTCTCTAGATTCTTTTCAGCTCCACCAAGCAATTGTAAAAGAAGAGCCTTTTTAACATGATTATTGCCTTCAATAGATGGCGCAACTGAATTTCCTAGAATGTCAAACAATTACTAGTTTTGAGAGAGTTTCTTGATATTTTTAATGTCATTCTCATTTAGATTTGGTTTTTCTTTCTCAATATTTAGACTTTAAACTCCAGTTGCTACAAGGAATGTTCTGAAGATACCACTGGTTTGAGGGCCGTGAGGAGCAACAGTCCTGAATACTCCAGTCACCTAGATTCTATCTCCTGGCTTTACTTTGTCTACTAAGTCGTTTTCAAGCACAACTTGAATTGATCTGGGAAGTTGACCTGTGGGTGCTCTCTCAGGCATTTCCTATATGGTAATAACCTAAGAGTCCTTGTAGACACAGTAACCATACTCTGCTGAAAGAGGATTGTCGTTCTAGTCTTTAGTGGGAAAAGCATTAGTCTACTCTGATACTGCCCCTTCATTCTCCGCAATCTGCAAAAGATTGAATTAGTCATTGTAATTTTTGACATGACCTCTCTTGGTTACTTCACAGTAATGGACTGAGGTCTAAATCTTAGGTTTGACGATACTCATTCTCGTAACTATGCCATTGACTGCTACGAATTAATTGACTAGGTCTGATTTGAGTCCTCTTGGAGTGATGTGATTCTTTCCAAAGTTTCCCTCAAAGTTGATGTAGTATTGCTAGATCTTTGAAGGAAACTGATTGCCAGTCTGCAGATTGGCTTTTAGGTTTCCTTTTCCAGAGCCGTCATTCATACCCTTGATACTTTAGTTGAGCTAGTCTTGAAACAACTTGATAGCTTGAATGGGGTCTCTTACCACAAAGTTAGCTAGCTTAGGATTAAACTGTCTCAATTCATCAAGGTTCACATTGAATCGTTGCTACCTTCCAATAGTGTTCTTGATTCTCTTAGTGACTTCGTTCTGATTCAAGTACTCGATGATCACGTCTTGCATCTGCATTCGCATCTAATCTGTGCTCTATTTCATAATGTCAACGTTCATTTGTTAGGTTTGATTTTCCATTGATAATTTTTGAGTTTTAACTTAAATTTGAATTTAATTTGATTAAGACTTCTCCATAGATTACTTACAACCAGATCAATTGCTATTCCTTTATTCACTTCTATTTAATCTTATGGGGTTTTGGGGTTTTGGGGTTTTGGGG